CTCAGTTGGTCTAGTAGACAGAAAGTGATGCTACCAAGCCAAAAGTGGGTGTTTAATCCGTGGCCCTCAGACCTGCTTTTTAATTGTTTTTGGTCAAACATTCTTCTAGGTCATGTAGCCCTGGTCTGTCCACTTGCTGTACAGAAGTAACTCATGATTGTTGTGAAGCTGAACACTGTGAAACTGATTTGTCAAATGTGATAATGGTTACCTATGGTGGACAGTGACTTGTGGAGCTCCCTGATTAAAACTAACATGAAAGCAGGAGTGCTTCTGAAATATCTTGCCTCCAGAAACCCTATGAACCTGGAGAAAGGATGGAAGTTATACAAGTGTTCAGATCTTTCATTCATAGGGTCACTATGAGTCACCTATGACTAAATGGCACTCAACAACAACAATATTGCCATTTTGAAAGATCCATTTGACCAACCAACTGGAAAAGATCCATATTTGTTCCCATACCCAGGAAAAGGTGATCCAACAGAATGTGAAAATTACCAAACAGTATCACTAATATTACATGCAAGTAAAATCATGCTTAAGGTCACTAAAAAATGTCTAGAACAGTGTATTAACAGAGAACTGTCATATACTCATGTTGGATTTTAGAAGGAACTTTGGCATGAGGGATATCAGAGCTGATGTCAAGTGGATCTTAGCTGAAAACAGAGATACCCAGAAGGATGTCTTTGTTTTATTGATATTCAAAGACATATGACTATGCGGCTCATATCAAATTAGGGCTGATATAGAGAAAAATGGAAATCCCAGAGTACTTTATTTTGCATATGTGAAACCTGGAGACCAAGAAGCTGTGGCATGAACAGAACAAGTAAACATTGTATGATTTCAAATCAAGAAAGATGTGTGTCATGGCTTTGTCCTTTTCCAATATATGTTCAATTTGCTAGCAGAAAAAAATTATTTGAGAAGTTGGAGCATATGAAGAAGAATGTGAAATTAAGATCAAAGAAAGAATCATCAACCACCTTCATTATGGAGATGGTACTATGTTGCTTGTTGAAAGTGAATAGGACTTGAAATGTTGCAGAAGATCAAAGACTACAACTTTCAAAATGGATTCCAACTCAACGGCAAAAAGACAAAAATCCTCACCACTAGATCAATAAGCAAAATCATTATAGATTGAAAGAATACTGAAATAGTAAATTATTACATTTTGCTTGGATCCACAGTCAGTATCTTTGGTACTAGCAGAGATCAAGAAATGCATTGTTTTTGGAAAGCCTACTGTCAGTGACCTCTCGAAATTACTGAGAAGCAATGATGTCAGTCTGAAGACTAAGATGTGCCTGATTCAGGTGATGGTCTTTACAATCACTTGCTAGGCATCTGATAGCTGGACAATGAATAAGGATTATGGAAGAATTGATGGCTTTGAGTTGTGGTGTTGAAGAAGTGTACTGAATATCCCATGGACTTAACAAAAAAGTGTCTTGGGGAAAGTGCAGTTAGAGTACTTCTTAGAGGCAAGGATGGCAAACGTTTGTCTCATATTGTTTGAGTATATTATTAAGAGATTCCATGCCTTGGAAAAAGATTCATGCTTGGAAAGGTGGAAGGTCCGCGAAAGAAAGGAAGACTTTAAAACAAGATGGTTGACATGGTGACTGCAGTAATGGGCTCTAGTGTATCAGAGGTGATGAGGATAGAACAGAGTTCAGCTGTGTTGTTCATGGGGTTGCTATGAGTATTGCTTGACTAGGCAGCACCTAACAACAACAGAATACTCAACAATAGAACTGAGGAACATGGTACCAACCTGAAGACTCATGGCTCAAATTCACCAGCTACTCCACAGGAGAAAAATGGTCAATCTCCTCCCATAGGATTATAATACCTCCTAAAACCTGCTGGAAGATCAGCCATGAGTTGATTCCAACATAACAGTATGCAACAATTTCTGACTTTGGTATCCCTGTGGGCCTAGTGTATAATGTGTTGCACTGTCAACTCAAAGGCACTCAGTTGAGATTTACCAGCTGCTTTATGAGAAAAAGATCAGTAATATCCTCTCTTGTGATTTACTACTGCCTATGAAAATCTGTTGGAGGGTCAGCTATGAGTTGCTTTCAACTTGAGAGTGTGTATCAAAAACTTCTGACTTCTACTTAGGTTTATTTGGTTATTTTTTTTAAAAATTTATTTTATTCTGGTTTGAATACAAAATTCATAGGCATTGTATTTAATTTATACACATTATGTTTCACACATCTGTCAATTTACATTGTGTTTCATACTATCATTCCCATACATTGTGCTTTATAAAATTAATCATCATTAATCCATGTCCACCATTACCCTGTCTTTTCTAGTCACCACTGAATCTTTCCTAATTTTTTCATCCCCTCCCTCTGCCCACCAAACTCTGTGACCTTGTAATTTCTCCCCTCTTACCCACTCTAGACCCTCTTCCTTTCTCCCCTATTCTCTTAGGACTTTTGTACACATCTTACTAGTAATCCTTCTATTTTTACATTATGTAATATTTGTCCTTATGATGCTGAGTTAGTTCACATAACATAATCTCCAATCTCCCCCATGTTATGTAATATTTTTCAAAATTGTTGCTTCTGAGTGCTGCATATTATTCCAATATGTTAATGTGCCATAATTTTTCAATTTGTTAATGGACATTTGGGCTGTCTCCATTTTCTTGTATTGTTATCCTACAAAAAGAAGCTTCCCCGAAATCTGTCTATTCTATAAATTAAAGCACAATAGTAAATATATATCTATAAAAAAAACCACACAAGATCTTGAAGAAAGGGAAGGCTAGAGAGAGGGAAGTACATCTTCAAGCTGGGACAAAGCCTTGAGCCTGAGAAGCTCAGCCTGTAGATTCTACTGAAGATTATCCAAAAACGACTGGAACAGTACATCAACAGAGAACTCCCAGGAGTCCAGGCTGGGTTTGGAAGGGGTCGTGGTACTAGGGATATTGTAGCTGATGTTAGATGGATCTTAGCTGAAAACAGAGAATACCAGAAGAATATTTGTGTTTCATTGATTATGCAAAGGCATTTGACTGTGTGGATCATAACAAACTGTGGCTGACTCTGAGAAGAATGGGAATCCCAGAACATTTAGTAGTGCTAATGCGAAACCTATACTTGGACCAAGAGGAAGTCGTCAGAACAGAGCAGGGCAACACTGCATGGTTCAAAATTGGGAAGGGTGTGCGCCAGCGATGTGTCCTATCTCCATACCTTTTCAACCTGTATGCAGAGCAGATTATCCGAGAGGCTGGATTGGTGGAAGATCAACAATCTTCATTATGCAGATGACACAATCCTGCTCCCTGAAACTGAGGAGGACCTCATGCACTTACTTCAGAGGGTCAAGGACTGCAGCCTTCAGTATGGACTGAGGCTCAATGTTAAGAAGACAAAGATTCTCAGCACTGGACCATTTGGTAGCATCAGGATGGATGGCGAAGCGAGTGAGATTGTTCACAGCTTCAGTTTGCTCTGCTCCACAGTCAACACTCTTGGCATCAGCAGCCAGGAAATAAAAAAAAAATATTACGGTGGGAAAGTCTGTAGTTAGGGACCTCTCTACTCAAGAGCAACGTTGTCTCTCTGGAGACTAAGGTGTGCCTGAAACAGGCCATGGTCTTTGCAATCACTTGTTATGCATCAGAGAGTTGGACAATGACTAGAGAGGATAGAAGGAGAATTGATGCCTTTGAGCTGTGGTGCTGGAGAAGAGTATTGAATGTACGATGGACTGCCAAGAAAACAAACAGATTCATCCTGGAGAGGGTTAAACCAGGCTACTCCTTTGAGGCAAGGATTCTGGGGCTTCGTCTGACATACTTTGGACATGTTGGAAGGAGAGACAGGTCCTTGTAGAGGGACATCTTGCTTGGTAGGGTAGAGGGACAGCGCAGGAGAGGAAGACCCTCTATGAGGTGGATTGATTCAGTGACTGGGGTAATCTGGATGGGTGTATCAGAGGCAATCGATTGGCACAGGATCGAGCAGGGTTTAGGGCTGTTGTACATAGGGTCGCTATGAGTCACAAACGACTCGACAGCACATAACAACAACAACATTTTATATATACATTCCTGGTTTTTAGTAAAGGTAGGGCATCTTAACTACAATAATACTGAATAGTTCTAATAACAGAGGTATAAACAGGACTTGAATTCATCAATCCTTCTAAAAACCACTATGTTGTTTTTGTTGTTGTTGTTGTTAAGTGCCGTAGAGTCATAGATGACTCATAGCGAGCCTATGAACAAAAGACCTGAACACTTGTATAACATTCCTCTTTTCTCCAAGTTCATAGTGTTTCAGGAGGCAAGCTATTTTGGAAGTGGATGCCACTCCTGTTTCCAAGCTTGTTTTAAATGGGAGCTCCACCAAACACTGTCCACCATGGGTAACCATTATCACATTTGACACATCAATGTCACAGTGTTAAGCATCACAGCAACCACAAGTTCCCTCTATACAGCAAATGGATAGACCAGTGCTATGCCACTTAGAAGAATGTTTGACCAAAACCAATTAAAAACAGGCCTGAGGGCCGCAGACTAAAATCACTCACGTTTGTCTTGGTTGCATCACTTTCTATCCACTAGGCCAACTGAGCTCTCGCGTTGTTGTTGTTGTTGTCGTTAAGTGCCATTGAGTCGTAGATGACTCATAGCGACGCTAAGAACACATGATCCGAACCCTTGTATAACTTTCAGCTTTTCTCCAAGTTCATAGGCTTTTCGGAGGCAAGCTATTTCAGACGTGGATGCCACTCCTGCTTCCAAGCTTGTAAAAACCACTATACAAAACAAGTAATATAGAATGGAAGTAAAGAAACACTTTTAGTAGTTCCCATGCCATCACTTATTCTGGGAGCTGTTCTCTCATCTGGCAGAATATATTTTATGCCATTTCTACTCAGAAAGACTCAAGGAGAAAGACTGTGGAGACACATTAACAATTCTGTCTGTTCTTGTATTATTCTCCCAGGAAAGCAGAAGTATCTGTGTGCCAGCAGAAATGATTGCACCATCGATAAATTCCGAAGAAAAAATTGCCCATCTTGTCGCCTCCGGAAATGTTATGAAGCAGGGATGACTCTGGGAGGTATGATTTTCTTTCTTTCTTTCTTTCTTTCTTTCTTTCTTTCTTTCTTTCTTTCTTTCTTTCTTTCTTTCTTTCTTTCTTTCTTTCTTTCT